ACGTGCATGTTTAATAAACTGCCAGTTTATGGGCAAAGTGAAATCTGAGTAAAGGGAAAAATCAAAGTGTGCCATATGGGTTTTGACATTTACTTGATAAAAGAAAAGTTTATGGCATTTACATGGCTTCACATGTTTTCAGATTGTTAAACATAATCGTAAGATTGTGAATGTAAACACATGAATGCGTGAGAGCCATGGAAAATTCAAGAACTGAAAATGCTGCCTGAGTAATGGAAGTTCTAGGGAAAATAATGTGGACAAGTAGGAAACTTTGAAACTTTTAAACTGCACAGAATGTTTATTGGCATTGAAATGGACTTAAAAATAGCCTCCAAGAATAAGATTACCTTCCTCATTAGTATCTACTGAGACATTAGTGAGCCAGTGTATTGGAACAAGTGAAGTGTCTCTGACAGGTCCTGGAGTCTGGTTAAGACCGGTGCAGTTCTGCCATGCGCTTCTGGTGTTCCTGCAACGGGTTCCAGCTCTTTCTCCCTTTCTTTCTCTTCTTTTGCATCTGGCTGGAGTGGTACTCTTTCCATTCTTTCCATTACCCATCTCCCTTTCTCTCTTATCTTCCATATCTATTGTACTCCTATGGTTATCCTTTTGCTTAGTATAGACAGGTAAAAGTTGCTCTCTGTAGCTCATCTGAGACCAGTTTTGAGGCTTTTTAAAGCCTGAATTAAGGAAATGGTTTATCTAAAAATGAATTTACCTCATGTTGTTCCAAAACTGAATTTTCTCTCCTCTGTAAAACACAAAAGGAGTTATTTTGCAGAATGTCCAAGCTGCTCTTTTCCATTCAATGAAAGTACTGGAAAAAGCATCAAAACAGTTCATCTTCATAAGACACATGCACTATATATTCAAGCTGTATGATAACGAGCAGACTGAAATGCAAAATGCTCACCAAAAATCTCTGTCATAGCTTTCAAATCGTGTTTGTAAGTATTAAAACATTCCGCTTTAAGAAGCATTGTGCCATGTCTGGTTTTAATGATATCAAATAAAACTGGTTCAGGTTTCTTGTGGCTGATCTCACTATTTGAATATTTTCAATTGAACAAAAGGGTGAATGAGATTTGGAAGCTATTTGGGAGACTTTTTGGCAGTTTTACTGTGTTTTGTCCATTTTGGAGCTTGACCAAGGTACATCACCGCTTGGACATTCTCCAGATATCCTGTTTTAGTGTTCTACAGAAGATCGGAAATGAACAGTTTTAAGATTGAATCTTCATCTTTAGGTGAATGAGCAGGTTGTGTCTAGGATCAGTACTAAAGGGAAGCTTCTAACCCAAGCACTGTTTTTGTTAGATAAAGATAACACCCATTTGGCTATATATGTGGAATGATGTATTAATAAAAGTTCAAGTGAAAGCCTAAAGCCTGTTTTAATGCTTGGATGTTTAACATATGATAAACGAGACGAGATACAATGAACCTGAAAAGTACAAATCCTGATGGATGTTTCTAGTAATGAAAGTGATTAGTACATGTTGAAGATATTTAATTGTAGATAAGGAAGCACAACATGTAACTTCATATCACAGGGAACAAGACGTTGTGGAAGATGCCGCACACATCAGACGTGTTTTGTTTATCCCAAAGAACAGATGGTAAGTCTCATACACACACAAACACGCTTTATCTCTCCAAGCAGTCCAAACTCATAACCACTTTCCCTGTAGTGCGCAAAGCAAACTTGACATTTGTAAAAGCATTCAGTGTTGCAATCGTGTCTCATGCCTCCAGATGAGAAACGCACACTCAGATGCAGACGGTAAGAGAGAGGATGTGTTTTCCACCGTCGGAATGCCTTTGACTGTCTGCGCATGGAATGTCCTCCAGCTGGACGTGCCCTTATATGGAGTTCAAACGATGTTCTAGACCCTTCAGTGACCTTGTGTGGGCTCCAGATGTTCTGAAAGTAAACATCTGTAAGTATGGTGAACTGTGATGATGCTCTGGTCACTTAGAAGTCCCCCCACCGCAGGGAAGAAAGGACACGCTTTTATTGGCTTTGACCTCTGAGACAGACTGAGGTCCCTTTTGACCCCCTTAAGTGTTTATTTGACCTCTCATTTGACTATAAGCAGTTTCTGGATTAGAATAAAGATGAATGCCATTGTTCTACTACATATAGAAAATATAAAATCCTGTAATGTACTCTGGTGCATATGCAGCTACGAGATTAACAGAAAAGTACATACAGTATATGATGCCGTTTTAACACAAAAATATTGTGATTGTAAAAAAGATTTAAAATGTGCACTCACATGAATTCAACCGAAAAGTACTTACTTTTTTTTTTTGACTGTGGAATAAATGAATAATAGGTTAAATTTGTGTGTGAGTAACCTTAGCCATTGTACAAACTCTTAAGACCAGAATATAACTTGCACTTTTAAATATTCTCTTTGCATACCAGATGTGTGGGCTACTATGGGTGTAAAGTAGATATGGTGGTTTAACTGTTTGTAAATCTTGGAAAATCCTAATTTAACACACCATTTATAGACAGGTAGGGTCAGTCTCTGACCTATGACATTATGAGGGTTTCAGAAGGTCCAGGTTTATCACACTGCTTCTCTGTGAGTCCCCAAAACACACATGCATTCAGTGGACAACTGGTTTGAAGGCTAATAGTGTAGTTATAAAATAAAAAAATAAAAAAGTGTTTTACTAATCAGAATGGAACTAGTTGTCATAGGGGCAATAATGTTCGATAGCAGAAATATCTGTCTATAGAAATTTTCAAATACATTTGGATATCTGTATTTTTAGTGCTGTCAAATGATTAATCACGATTAATCGCATTCAAAATAAATGTTTTTGTTTACAGAATATATGTGTGTGTACTGTGTATATTCCCTTCAGAAACAATGTAATCCACTGCGTCTTCAGCGGCTCAGATGTTGGGAGTAAATGATGACTGCTATGTTCATTATTACATCCAACAACAGAACACCTCAATCTCTTAGGAGTCATTCTTGTCTACATCTGCTCCGGCGGTGAACCAATGGCGGACTGATGACAGTCACTCAGGGCGGGTCTAAGGTAAGACGCCAGTCCAGCTGTGCTGAAACGCTACTGTCAATCAAACTATCGTGGGAGGGGCCTGTCTGTGTGACGTCACACAGACAGGCATCTGCGTTCGGCTCGATTTGAGAAAGGGGAAAACATTTAACCAGATTAAAAATAAAACACCGGGTGGATTTTTATCATTATATGGTGGTTGTGTACACACACTGCCAACACACATTTCAGTTCAAACTACTTGTAAACGTGCACATGGCATCCTATGACCCCTTTAAAGTTCTGAATTTGTTCGCGATTCATTCGGACAGTTCACTCATGCACTGAATCTTTCGCAGGGGTTTCTCAAACCGAGATTGTAGGCTAGCTTAATATTTTACAAGACAGAAAACAAAAATAGTGCTGGATGAGGTGTGTTTACCTTACAAACTATTGTAGGAAACAAAACTTGAAAATGGCTGCTATCATTTGTCAAAGACAAAGCAGCTCTTTATTGCGCATGCAGCTTGTGAACGACTCCGTACTGTAGGTAAACGAGGATTGGTTGTCATTTATATGGCTATGAATATACAAGACTGTATCAAACTATGGTCATGCTCGAAGGCTTACTTACGGTGACCCAGTAGCGCACAACACAACGAAATTAAAAAAGCAAACATAACTGATCAAAGGCTAGAAACGCCCTTTGTGACATCTTTTGTGAACTGAAATGCAGTTACATGTAACGTCTGCTTTCTTTTTCCTTAAAGGGGTCATATGATGCTTTTTTAAAGATCATTATTTTGTGTATTTGGTGTAACAGAATATGCTGACATGCTTTAATGTTCAAAAAACACATTATTTTTCAAATACTGTACATTATTGTAGGTCCTCTATGCCCCGCCTCTCTCAAACGCTTAGTTTTCTACAAAGTCCCTCCTTCCGACAAGCGCAGTCTGCTCTGATTGGCCAGCTGACCCAGTGCATTGTGATTGGCCGAACACCCGAACACCGCAAGCACTCGTTGGAAATGTAACATAATTACATAATCGCGAGCTTCATCTTTCAAAATAAATGTAAAGACAGTAAATAATGTCATTAGTTTTACCATCAGTTCAAGCCTGAAAGGGGAACAGAGTCGCGTGACAGACACAGTGATGAAGCTGGTATGTGTTTGCAGTACACAAGCCACGGTTAAGACAGCTGACTCCACTGTGATGTGACCCTATCTATCTCTCTCTCACACACACACATTTGAACATTCCATAGCAAATACTTAAACTAATAACAAAACAGTAGCTGATTCAGAAGCGCCAGATTGTCATAGCAAAGTCAGAATAACCTCCTCTCCTAGGTTCACGAAACGGTCGTCCATAAAATGCGTTGCTGTTCTGTTGTAAGTAATCTTAAAGATTCCTAAATGCATCTACTTTTGGAAGGCCTCTCTGACATGCTGCTTCAACACTAACTGCGGTTACTGAAACCACGCCTTCTTTCTTTGCGTGAACATTTGGGCGGCATTATGCTAATATTTCCACATAGTGATGTAGACATGTGGGGGCGTGTTAGAATGAGCCGTTTTAGGGGGGCGTGGCAGAGTCTTAACTTTGATAAAGAATATCTCTTTGGTTTTGAGACTTTAGTCTTTGCAACTTCAGGGATCTTATCTATGCCCAACCAGCTTGTAACACTCCAAAGAGAAAGGAAAACTTGAAATCGCATCATATGACCCCTTTAATGTTCATCATATATAATTCTTGATGTTAAAAATCCTACTCATGTTTTATGATGTTACGGATTTTGTTAAGAGTAACGTATTATATGTGAAACAATTTGTATTCTCGAATTTTACATTCATGTATTTTGTGAAAATAAATATAAAAAAATAGATGTAACATCTGTGGCGCTCCACTAAGCGCCCTCTCTTCTGGTCACTCTGAGGACAACAGCAGTCGAGAGAGGGGGCGGAGGACAGGACACACAGGGGCAGAGAGAAAGAAAAGAGCCTGTGCGTGGTTTCGCAGGCGGAGTTTCGTTCTTGCACCGTTGGTATTCACTGCCTCTTTATTTTTTCCCTCGGGATTGCTTGAGGAGGCAGAAGGAGCAAGAACGCGCCGTAAGCGAGCAGATGTTATAGCTGGACTATCCCTGTTTCCAGCCTGACAATCGAGCGTATCATCTACTAAAATGTGGCAGCCTGCGTCGGAGCGATTGCAGGTAAGATCGTACGTCTAATTTCTGTAAGAAACGCTTTTGTTTGTCTGCCGTTCATTTTGGAGACGCGGTGTGCAGGCCAGCCAACGGGCACACCAGCTTCTCATCCAGCAGACCTCATTCAGCCTCCGCTCATCTGATAAACTGCTACACTGGCGTTGTGTGGCTCTTCAACTTTGTATCTCTGCTCCTTGCTGAAGCTCAGCGCGTCTGGACTGCAGCTGCGAGTCTGCTCGCAAAATAGAGCTGAAGTTTTACAGTTCTTTCGAAGCCATGCCATTTCACAGCATTGGTGTGTCTGTCTGCTGTCTGTGAAATGGCTGGAGCGACGTCGTTGTGCTGGAACTAACTGTGCTCCTGGCCTTGCTGAGGGGTGCGTTCACGCAGGACGCGTCCATGCGTTGCGTTTGCGCTGTTTTTAAGCACCGCGGGTCCCACATTCACGGCAGACCTGGAAATATGACAGAGTTTCAAAATTGAGTTTTTCAGGCCTGGAAAAGTCATAGAAAGTACTTAAATGTGTAGAAGTCACGACTATTTCAAAGTCACTGCTCAACACCAAAGCAGATTTGTTCGTTTTAAGCGGGCGTTCAGCTGGTCTTCCAGCCTGACTAACTCAAAAGTGCCTACAGTCTCTCTAAAACCAAGATTTAGCTGGTCCACACTTGTCGTTAAAGAGAGAGTGCACCCAAAAAATGAAGATTCTGTCATGATTTACTCACTCTCCTGTCATTCCAGATTCATAAGACTTTTGTTCATCTTCGGAACACAAATGAGGATATTTTTAATGAAATCTGAGAGATTTCCGTCCCTCCACTGACAAGTCCACACAACTATCTTTTTTTTTAACGCTTTGAAACCATTATAAAGAGATTGTTAAATTGATATGAATTGAACGGTCTAGGCCAAATTTTCTGAAGATAATTGATCGCTTTATATATTATGACCGGATTTAATTCAGTAATCTGTCTTGGTTTTTTTTCAGTGTAGCTTTGCAGGGAAGCGACACTGGCATCCAGTTTCTGTGCAGAATATTTAGCCAGATTTCTCCAAGCATTCGGATTCATCCAGTTATAGAAGTCCAGCAGTTACCTGTAAATCTCCTTCAAATAAAAGAAAAGTTCACGTCAAGTATTTTTTATCTCCTGGGGAGCTGGGCTTCACGTCTCCACTGTTTGTAATATTATCCAGATGTGGAGCTGGATGGTCTTTGCCAGATGAACTTGCACAATCTTTCCCCAGAGTTTGGCATGGCGACACTGATTAAATAGCATAGTAAACTCTTTTGAAAGCTGCTTTGACTGATTTGATAAACAATATGTGCGGGTTATGCGTAACAAAATGTTTGAATCAAACCACTATAAACCATTTAAAGCCATGTAACAACAGCCAGATTTGATTAATCTACCACAGCTCTGTGCAAACTGGACTCGAGATTCAAACTTCTCCTTCCTGAACTAATCCAGTAGATTAGAACCATATTTAATAAGCTTAAGTTTGTTAGCCAGAATGCTTGTTAGTTATGAACAATATAGGTGATTGTTGTGTTTCACTGACTTTTCATATGCTCTGAACCAACCTGTTCCTTGTTAGACCACGATCCATGACATGATTCCATACAAGTCCCTTTTTTGAGTTTATCACCAAGCATAGTATTTCAGGAACATGTTTACTCTTGTCAGTGGACACTATTTTGATCAGTAACAAATCTCAGTGTTGAAAGCATAACGGGGGCCATTCCTGATGCTTTCTTACTGTACCTGTATGTACTTAAAATGAAAAGCATTGGATAGTATACTTATGATAAAGATACATTTATGATGTTGATGTCTCCGTGTATATAAAGTAGGAAATGAATTCCCTAGTGAAAAATAAATATAATAAAATTTCATGTTTAAAATGAGAAAAATATCATCTATTATTTCATGCCAAGTATACTACAAATACATTTTTAAATGCATATTATGTGCCTAATAAAAATACCCTGCAATTGTGCTTTTGGTTTACTAAACTGGTAAACTTATGGTTGGTTACACTTTATTTTAAGGTATTCATACATTTAAGTACCGAGTAATATTAATTAACTACATGTACTTACTATGTGGTTAGGGTTACGCATAATTTATTGTTATTATAATAGTTCATGTGACGTGTAACAAGGACACCTTAAAATAAAGTGTTACCCTTAAAGTCTCCTAAATTGTAACAACTCATTTTGCACTTAATGCACTTTAATTGTGTGGAAGTAGTGCTAAAATTCAACAAAAGATATATACTGAAGTATATTTGTTTGTGCTAAAGTGGAACTATTGCAAGTATACTTCAAGTATACTTTTAAATATCTTGCATTTAAAGACCAGAGATCATCAGTAGTGACATTAAAACACATTTTAGGATTAATATAAAACAAATATGCATTGTGCACAAGTAGTACTCCAAATGAAGTTTAATTATAATTTTTATATCATTAAGTCTTGAGCGATATGTCAGTAAATGTTAATAAATTTTAACTATATAAAATAAATGTATTTCAAATATATTACTTTTTTACTAGGGTTCTGTTATAATAGTATATGCTATTATTTACACTGGTGTTCAAATTAAAAGGGATATTTCCTATATAAAGTACAATATTGTAACTAATTAAATCACTGTAACAGCACTGTATCGCTCTTAAAAATAAAGGTTCATTATTGGTTTCGATGGTTCCATGAAGAACCTTTAACATTCATGTGGCCTTTAAGGTTCTTTATAGTGAAAAAATTATTTTTTGGATAATTAAAAGTTTCTTCTCACCAAGAAAATTGGTTCCTTTTAAGAACTGTTAACTGAAAGGTTCTTTGGGGTGCTAAAAATGGTTCTTTTGCGGCTTCACTGTGAAAACCCACTTATGAAACCTTTGTTTTTAAGAGTCTATGTACACAGTAATACATTTTAAGATGAGTACATCGTTAAAGACGTGATGTAGGACTGTTTGCATACAGTTCAGTTTTCTGGATCTGAGTGAGCTCTTTATAATCTCATAAAAGACTGGATTTAGTAGGATTCAATGAATTCCATGGGATGTATTAAGAGCATTACATCATGGAGATTTTAATCTAACGGGATTATACCATCAAACACTGCAATCAGTTTTTATGTACGGTAACAGTAGGATATTATATCTCATAATAGCCAAAGTATAATCAGCAATATGTTAGCCATAGTCAAAGAATATATTGACATCAAGAGTTTTGTCCTCTCACAGTGCTCCACCCAGCGTAACACCACTCTTGGATCTCAACTGGCCAGAACCAGCCTCAAGATCCATTGCTTTTTGAGTAGACCCTTGTGGTTCATTGACTTTGAACTTACTTGTGTTTTCACACTTTGCTCATTTTGAATTAAGACCGAGCAAGTTCTCACTTGGATCTGAGACAGCATGTAGTAAGTGTGGTTTAGTACTCCGATAAATGCAAAACTTCTCATGTTTATTAAAGGAATATTACAACCTTAATAGAAGCTAAGCTCAGTTGACAAACTTTATGGTGTAATGTTCTTTTCCACATAAAAGGATTTAGACTTTTTCTTTAAGAAAACGATGAGGTTACAGTGAAGCACTTGCAATGGAAGGTGGCCAATGGGGGCATTTTTTGGAGGATTTAAAAGCAGAATTGTAAAAATTATAATTTTATAAAGGTACTTCCATACATGATTATGCACATACATAACTAATAGAAGAAGAATTATGTCGTCATGGCATCAAAGTTGTAAAATTGGAATGAAAAGGAAAGGTGAAAAAAGAAAAGGAGGGATGATTTGAAATTATGGCTCAAGTTGATTTATCTTAACTTGTAATAAATCCAGGATATTCTGGGTCGAAAACAAGTTAAGCTCAGTTGAGTTGGGGAACTTATGTCAAACTGGAAATTTTCTCTCATCATTACTGTGTGTACTACTATGAGTGAGTGATATTTTTCTGAGGCTTTGAGGCAAAAACACGCTTCACATCACCCCTGCATTGCTATCTATAATACAGAACGTTCTGCCCAGTGTAATCTAGTGTTACACAAACACACATTCTTAGCACCACAGATCAAGACCTCGTTTCTCCGGAGCTGAGGGTCTCACTGTGATTTCAGCATAGTGCATTCCCAATGTTGATTCTAAAGACCATCCAGGCTCTGTACAGTTATACGACTGCCACCCTAGTGATGGGCAGTGGCCTGATGTTGCAATTAACAAAGGGACTTGGGGCTGATTTTCTTACAATGCATTGAAACAAGATGTAATTCTCGAGCCCTTCGCACACAAACACTCGTGTGCACTGATTCTTTCCCAATGCACTTTTCTCAGAATGCACTGAAGCACTTTCAGTGTCCGCTGCACGGTAACCATGACTACCGGCAGGCTCTCTCTTTGTGGCGTTTCTATGGTAACATGCATCGCTGTGTTAATGACGATGCTCAGTCTCATTCTCGTCTCTCCCATTCTGTAATCTGGATCCGTTCTGCTGTATTCTGTGTTTTTGAAACTCCATTTGAGCTCCAGAACTGACCTTTATCAAGTTATAATCAGGGCAACTGCAGGGGAACACTCCCCCCCCCCCCCCCCCTCCCTTTCTAAAAAACCTCTCCC